AATAAACATTTTAGATTCATATGCAAAGTCATTTTTTGTCAAAGGCAGCTTGAAGGACTAATATATTAGGATGCCGTAGTGCAATGTCAGGTCTCCACAGTTACCTAGTAGAGGAAGCCTCCTGAACGAGCGGCTCTGGTTTGGAGCTCTCTGATTGGTCCGGTTCTTGCTTTGGTTCTTCTTTATGATTGGGCGGACTGGAAGGTGGCGAGGCAGCCGGGCTCGGTTTTCGGCGAGGAGATCGAGAGGGACTGGACTTACGGTCACGCTTCACAGGCGAGCGGGACTTCCTCCTGGGAACAAAAGTGAATTGAGAAAAAAAAAACAGCATTTAAGCACAAGGCTAATTTACAATATTATCCATTATTTACACTGACAATTTATTAAAGTCACTGTAAAAACGAAAATGGACAATTTTATTGTTATTTTGCAATGTTATATTTTTATAGAAGACTGCAGTGTTTATTACAGATGATTTATCTGTGTGCATTTTTTTTTTTAATTCATGCGTTCTCGTAATCTTTAATAAACACTTATAACAGGTTGCAGAAATTAGCAAACGATTGGATTGTTGTCAATTCCAGATGGACAAAATCAAGTCCCAACCTATATTTTTTTCATGTTCAAGTTTCATGCTGACTGGCAGCAAAAAGAAATCCAAAACCAACCTTTTAGGGCTTTTTGACTGAGCTCTTTCTTTGCTCTCCTTCTCTCTGTTATCTTCATCTATTTTTTTCAGAGAGGCAAGTTTCTCCTGTTCGATCTGAACATTAAAGATAGGAAAAACTGTTAAACACTCAACTTGATGAGTTTACAAACATGTTGTACACATACAATTATACAAACACAAACTCAATCACAGCCCAACCAATAAAACTGTGATGATGCGAGTTCGCATCTTCTCTACATCACCTGTCTCTGTTTGATCTCCTCTTTCTTCTGCTCCAGGAAGGCAGATGGGATACCAGCGATGTTCTCCTGGGCGCTTAGTAACAGCGGCCAGAGGTCCTTCATGAACTCCCGAGCATTCTTCCCATTCAGAAACCCGGTCAAATTAATCTGCATCATCTTCCCATCAGGATTCTGCAACACAAACAGAAGGGAGGAAGAGAGAGGGGAGGAAACCAAGCAGTTAATACGGACACGGAACCAGAGTGCTGATCTCTGAAAGTCTACCTATACCTTCCCTTCCTGAACATAAGTAAGCAGCTGCTTTTCAACAAGAGCCCAGTACCTGTGGGCCTCAAAAATGTCTCTAAAACCAACAGCCACAGCTGAATGTAATTTTTACTAATAAACCAATTGTATAAAGGCAACAAAAAACACTTCTAAAATGAATAAACTGCCTTTGAGCATGCATTACAAGTTTACATGTTATCATCTGAACTGAGATGTACCCTCCCAGTTCACATCCTCTCGTCAAGGAGCAATAAGACCCTCCCCCACCACTAGGGCTGTCTCTTCCTGTGCAATATCAAACTCCTGAGCGATAGAAACATTACAGTCCACAAACAGAGTGCATCAAAACCCCACAAAGCAAGAACAGTCCAGTTGTCTTCAGTGTGAGTGGCGCAGGCTCTGTGGGCTGGGTGGGCAGAGAAAGGCGCTCCATTGGCTGGCCTCCGCCTCACTACTGCATCACACTCAATCACCTTGAGTTTAATGCTATATCATTTATCTAAATTGCAAGAGACGAACAAGCAATAATGAGTACACAAGGCATGGAAAACGCTTTATTTACAACAAATGAAGAGGAAAATAAATCTATGAGATCCATGTGCTAAGACAGGTTTGCTGAATCATGCTCCTAAAGATGTACAGCACACCAGTGTTTAGTCATAAGCATAGGGTTGGACCTAAATTTTGCAATAAAGTAGATCTCCAAGAGCAGGACTGAGCACCCGCTGTACTAAAATGAGTTAAACGAGTGTTTCTGGTTCAATACAGGTAAAGCTCCAATGACAGCATCTGTGGAATAACTGATATTTTTAACGCCAAGAACCCAAAATTATGATTCGCTATTCAATATTTTCATTCATATGGACCCATTTAGACTGTGTGATTATAAAAGAGAAACATTTTTTTTACTTTACACCATTACTGCAAATTACTCAAAAAAAATTGGCTAAGTATATTTTATTTCTAACCTGTATTAAATAAAAACAAACAGAATAATTTATTTCTATAGCAATTTTCACAAATTTTAGATATATTTTTGTAAACCCTAGAACAGTGGTTCTCAACCATTTTGAGTCACTGTCACCGAGATATTTCCTCTGGTATTTCTGTTGAAATTATGACAATGCTGCTTGTTTTCAAACTTTGGAGCGTTTACATATTCAATTAATTAAACATGATTGATTTTGTGATTTTATAAGATGCAAAATTCTAAATGTTTTTCTTAAAAAATCTATATATATATTGGGGAGACAGAGATTTTGGTCATTTTTAAGAAGACATAATTGTGACGTGTGACGTGTGCCCCACCTACAATCCCTGCCGGTACAAGACTCGAACCCACAACCTTTGGGTTACGAGTCCGACTCTCTAACCATTAGGCCACGACTTCCCATAATTAAATAATTTTAAGCCATCCTGTAATTATTCTGAGGAAACTGATATTATTTCACAAACGCTGTTGATCAAACTTATCCAGTACTGATCCTGAAGCATTCCTTTAAGATATTGTATGGCTATGACATTACAAAAACTGAAAGCACCTCTTTAAGTTTAAGGAAAAACCTTTATGTATCATTAATAGGAGCAAATACCTCTCTGGAATCCAATCGAAAGCTTCCTGAAAATCAAATCTTTAAGAGACTAAAACATTAACTAATAAACAGAGCTTAGCTAAACTAATGAAAACGCAAAATGTCACATGTCTCACGTTGTTGTTTTTTTTGTTTCATATTGCGCAAATGCACAAACATACAAGAAACCAATGTATTGTTTTATAATTGATAGTGGAGCTATTCACCGAGACTGAGAATAACACGTATTGACTAATTAATTCTATTTAAATAAAATGGGCATCTAACACTAATGTCGTACTGTGCTATCGTTTCACATGCAATGTTATGTTTCTCGTTTTTATTCTTTAATGGTTGTATGTCATATTCAAAAAAGGTAATCAGGCCTTTGTGTTTCAGATGTACTGCTAAACTTTGACTCTGAAACAGAAAGGCACAAATGATAAAGCTGAAATGACTCTACCACTGGCACAATGTCAAGCCCTGCTTATAACTCACCTCAAAAAATAAAGCTCATCATCAAGGGAGAGTTGGATTCAGAGAGACTTTGGGCTCAGGTGAGATCTAATTAGGAGTTGGTGCTATACTTCAGATGCAAGGAATAAGATCCATATTGGTTCAGGCCTTTTAAATCATAAATCACATCAACATTAGAACATTGCTGTTCAGAAGGAATGGTGTCACAAATCATATCTTCAGAGAGAGAGAATATCATTTTTACCCGCTTTTCTGTCTTTTTAAAACCAGACAGACACTTAAAGACAGTGATGTTAGATGTTTTCTGCTGTTACATCTACTCATGGCAAATGTTTCAAATAACTGTCAGCAGTTATTCACTGAACTTCAAACCTTCTCTCATCCTCCCAAAGAACATATATATGCAGGTAACTTATAGGTCAACCTTAATTTGGTTTAAAAAAATGATTTGGTGTCACATGCTCCTTCAAAAACTACTATCATCAATTCTGAAAAGCGTTGTGCTACTTAAAATTATATTTGGAAACTGTGATACTTTTTCTTGAATTTCTTCTAATAATCTTTGATGAATAGAACAGCATTCTTACACGGCTGAACTTACAATTTATTGTAAATCTAGGGAACCACAATATGCAATACGTTTATGGTAATAAGGTGTTATGAACACACTTGCAAAAAAAGAAAACAAACATGTATTTCCATATTTTCTACCTTCTTCTCCAGACATTCTGCAAACTTCAGTTGCTTCAACAGCTTCTTGTGTTTGTTGCTGAAGCGGTTATCCTGCTCCGCACTGGTGCCCTGAAACAACAAGAATTCACAATTAAAACAATATATGATATAGGAAATTCCTATTTTTCTGCATTTGAAGTTAACATACAATTTGCAGTACGAGACAGAAAATGAATTACTTCATTTGAGTAGGACATTGACACGGGTGTAATATTTAACGTACGTATACACACACATATAAATCTTCGGTTCCAGATGTATACCACATTATTATTATTATTATTTTCCTTTGTCTTATTTAAATGTTATTTCTGTTTTCAGTGTCATATATGTATGTATGTATGTTTGTACTAAGAGTTCCTAAAAATATACAAATTCCTTGCGTGTTTGCACACACTTGGCGAAGAAAGCTCATTCTGATTCTGATACACGATTACACGGCTTGCTATCGTATAAGAACATGTTTTTTTGCCGGGCTGGGTTTCGGTTTCAGCCTGTATTTTAATTTAACTACGCAAACCAGAGTACAGTTGACTGTATAATGTTATAGTGGAATTTATCTGTAAGAATAAGTGCGATACTGTGAAATTCAACGCGCTGGGATCCTTAAATCCGTTGTTCCCGTTTAATCTGTTGAGTACGTTCTGGTTCTCGCACGCAGCCGCCATTACAGCCGCACTCCAATGAACATACGAAATACAGCCTTAAAACAACCAACTAATCAGCCAGCTGACAAATAACACATGCAAAACAACGTATTTGACCTTTATATTGCGATAGTTGTAAAAGAATATTAGACTTACGCGGAAAAACCCCGCGTCCATTTCTATCGTCTGTCAATATGGCACGATGTCCCACAATCCACTGCGACAGCCTCAACCTCACTTCCTGTGCCTGTTCAAATCTAATAAATACTACCTTGAACGTTTTTTGTTTTTATTTTTAATTTAGTGTCATGTTTCATAATATACTGAATTAATCACGAAAATATAAAACAAAATATATTTCATTTTATTTTTGTTCGTTTGTTATTTTTGACTACTGCAGAGGTCACAATGAACAAAGACATACATAAACTGTTTGCTGTATTAAAGCCATTTATTTGACATACACTGCAATTTTCCACCAGTTCTTTTTGAGATTCATTAACAACTTTTGAGGTTAAATGATAAGTGAAAATTAATGCAGTTTCAACTTTTAACACTGAAATCACACTTGCTTTTGGAAGAAAGGTGAGTCATTGTATATATCGTCTTATATATCTTAAACATCTTATATATTGATTAGTCATTTTTATTTGTCTGCACCAGTAGCCTATACAGAAGGCATACTAAAGACTTTCAGAGGGGCCAAAGCCAAAGAACACCCCCTTTACTCCTGCAAGGCTTTGGGTGTTTTATCCAGTAGTTTTGCTCTTCTGAGTTAACAAAAAATGTGTAAAAAAAAAAAACTCTTAGTGTATAATAATACATCAGCAATGCTGAGTGATTAAGTACTTAATTCACACCACCAAACTATGCATTGTGAACCCAGAGCCCTTTGATAACGGACTCTAAATAAATAGCCAATGCAGACAATAGTGGGTTTAACAGAACCCAAAATTCAGGCAACTGTGATTTCTTCAGCGATCGCAGCTGGAACAAAGGCAATCTTTTGATTTGCACTAAAGGTAGTAGTGGTTTAAAGTATTTTCTGCCCATGGCTGTGTTCAAACTGAGACAATTCCTCTTGTACACAATACATTGAGTAGTCTAGAGCACAGAGTGAGGTGTCTAGTGTTCCTTATTGTATTTGAACAAATGGAGCATCTATGGAGTCAAAATTCAACCCCTGCCAAAGAGAATGGTATGATTGGTTAGGATTAGAAAGCAGTGTTTTAGTTATAACATCAGATCATTGAAAGTGTTGAAGGGCATGTTCGGGCCAGCCAGAATTTTTCTTGGTGCTGACCTTGTTATTTTAATACAGTGCATGGTGATTCTAAAATAATTAAATTACAGTTTCATCTATAATGTGTGCAATAATCAGCGGCGCCGCTATGGTTTCTGGACCCCCTGAACAGCATACTGACTCAGGCCCCCTCCGCAATCGCATTCCGGGGGGGTGGGGTCCCGCTTGGTAAAAATCGTGTTCCAGGCCACCTCTCCCTCGTCAGGACCTTTGGAATCGTCCTAACCTCCCCCCAGCAACGGCCGCGCAGTCCCTGAGAAGACCTGCTAGCTGGCAGGTAGTCCTGCATTGTTTTTTTCACGGATGGAGGCCAGCATGTCTGTGACCAGCTCTGACAGGCCATACGCAGGCTTCCAGCCCCAGTCCTGACGTGCGTTAGAGTCATCAAACCGCACTGGCCAGCTGTCCGCTATAAATTGAACATTACATTTTATGAACATTTAGATCATTGCAAAAAGTTTTTCTTTTCATTATACAAGAAAAACACATACAGATAGACAATGACCAAGATAGGAATTATTTCTACAATTAACCACAAACATTAATATTAAAGGAATAGTTCACCCAAAAATGAAAATTTGCTGAAAATGTACTCAGCCTCAGGCCATCCAAGATGTAGATGAGTTTGTTTGTTCGGTGTAATTTGGAGAAATCTGGAACATTCACCTCTGCAGTGAATGGGTGCCGTCAGAATGAGTTCAAACAGTTGAACATCACAATAATCCACAAGTAATCCATACGACTCCAGTCCATCAATTAATTTCTTGTGAAGTGAAAAGCTGTTTGTAAGAAACAATCCTCTGTCCATAATATTTTCTCCAGTGAAAAAGTCATTTTGTCAGAAACAGGAGAGAAATATGCACAGATCAAGCACTGTTTACATGCCCAAACAGTTCTAAACAAATATGTTGGTGAATTTTGATGCGAGAGGACAACAGGGGATTGACTTGTTTCACTGGAGGAACTGTTATTATGGATTATGAACTCATATTTTGGGCAGAAGCAACGGTTTAAAGTTAATACTTCATGATGGATAAAAACACTAAAAACACAGCTTTTCGCTTCACAAGACATACATTTTTTTGTGATGTTTTTATCGGCTGTTTGGACTCTCATTCACTGCAGAGGATCCATTGGTGAGTTAAATCTCTCCAAATATGTTCCAATGAACAAACAAACTCATCTATATCTTGGATAACCTGTGGGTGAGAACATTTTCAGAAATGTTTAAATTTTTGGTGAACTATTCCTTTAACATACTTACAAAATTATTTAAAACTGTTTCAAAAGGTCATTCTCTAACTCACTGCTGTTCTTACCAATAGTCTGCCGGATGGTATCAGGATTGTATGTGACCCTCAAGTGGGGCAGGTATTTGCGAATCTCTTCCACCACTTCTTCAGGTGTGAAGCTCATAGCTGCGATGTTGTAAGTGCGCAGGGAAAGTTGGCTTTCAGGGGCCTGCATAAACTCAATGGTGGCCCTGTGGCAGTCAGATATGTGCATCATGGGAAGCCGAGTGTTGGAGCGCAAGTAACATTCATGGTGGCCGGTGCTGAGGGCATCGTGAAATATCTGGACAGCATAATCTGAGGAAAAGAGGATGTATACAATTAGGCCAGAATAGTGTGTTGTTTGCTGTGAGTAAATGACAAAGCTATGAATGTACAACTAATGATTGTGTCTGTAAGTGAGGAAATGCAGGATGGCTGGTCACCAGTAGTGCCTCCTCCTGGCTTGGTGTGGGCAGAAACAACTCCTGGGTAGCGCAAGCATCAGAAATCCAGGCCATATTTATGGTGGAGATACTGATCCAATCAAAACACAGTTAGGATGTTGGCATTTCATAATTACAGCATGTAAGGGATAAACATTTCTCGCTAAGCTTATGAAGCATATTTACGATTAACTTTTACACAAATTATAATTTTCAATTATTAGGATTATACTATTAATATAAATTGATATAGTACTACTAATATCATTTAGCACACTACTGGTCAAAAGTTTGGAATGTTTCTGTCTTATATGCACTCCAAGGTAATATTGAACTGTTTTCTATTCTAACATATTTTAAAATGTAATTTTGAATATGCAAAGATAAACCATTACTTCAGTCTTCAGTGTCACATGATCCCTCAGAAATCATTCTAATATGCTTTTTTCGGCGCTCAAGACACATTTTATTATACACTATCAATGTTGAAAATATTTTTGCTGATTCAAACATTTGTGGAAACCATGAAGCACTGCCATTTAAATGTTTGGGGTAAGTAAGATTCAAAAAGAAATTAATACTTTCATTCAGCAAGGACATATGTGACCCTGGACCACAAAACCAGTCTTAAGTCGCTGGGCATCACCTGTCTCTGTTTGATCTCCTCTTTCTTCTGCTCCAGGAAGGCAGATGGAATACCGGCGATGTTCTCCTGGGCACTCAGCAACAGCGGCCAGAGGTCCTTCATGAACTCTCGAGCGTTCTTCCCATTCAGAAACCCGGTCAAATTAATCTGCATCATCTTTCCATCTGGATTCTGCAACAAAAACAGCAGAGAGGAAGAAAGAGGGGAGGAAACCAAGCAGTTAATACCAACACAGAACCAGAGTGCTGAGCTCTGAAAGTCTACCTACACCTTCCCTTCCTGAACATAAGTAAACAGCTGCTTTTCCTCAAGAGCCCAGTACCAGTGGGCCTCAAAAATGTCTCTAAAACCAACAGCCACAGCTGAATGTAATTTTTACTAATAAACCAATTGTATAAAGGCAACAAAAAACACTTCTAAAATGAATAAACTGCCTTTGAGCATGCATTACATGTTTACATGTTATCATCTAAACTGAGATGTACCCTCCCAGTTCACATCCCCTCGTCAAGGAGCAATAAGACCCTCCCCAACCACTAGGGCTGTCTCTTCCTGTGCAATATCAAACTCCTGAGAGATAGAAACATTACAGTCCACAAACAGAGTGCATCAAAACCCCACAAAGCAAGAACAGTCCTGTTGTCTTCAGTGTGAGTGGCGCAGGCTCTGTGGGCTGGGGGGGCGGAGAAAGGCGCTCCATTGGCTGGCCTCCGCCTCACTACTGCATCACACTCAATCACCTTGAGTTTAATGCTATATCATTTATCTAAATTGCAAGAGACGAACAAGCAATAATGAGTACACAAGGCATGGAAAACTCTTTATTTACAACAAATGAAGAGGAAAATAATCCTATGAGATCCATGTGCTAAAACAGGTGCTGAGTCACGCTCCTGAAGACGTACTTCACACCAGAGTTTAGTCATAAGAATAGGGTTGGACCTGAATTTTGCAATGAAGTAGATCTCCAAGAGCAGGACTGAGCACCGGTGTCCTAAAATGATTTAAACGAATGTTTCTGGTTCAATACAGGTTAAGCTCCAATGACAGCATCTGAAGAATAATTGAATTTTTTTTTTTACACCAAGGACCCAAAATTATGATTCGTTTGCACCCTTCAGCATTATATTTTCATTCATATTGACCCAATTAGACTGTTTGAAAAAAAGTGTGTTTATAAAAGAGAACATGTTTACAAAAGCATTTTTTATTCTCTATACCATCACTGTACTGAAACCAAGCAAATTACTAAAAATATATAATTTATCTAATAATAAAAGTTAAAAATTTACTTGTTTTAGGAGTATTTTATTTCTACCCAGTATTAAAGAAACAAATTAAACAGAAGAGGAACATTTTTACTTCTATTCAAATGTATTTCTATAGCAATTTCAACCATTTTTATATACATATATATCTGTAAACCCTAGAACAGTGGTTCTCAACACTTGACTCACTGTCTAAAGGCCTACCCATATTGGTTGAGATATTTCCACTGGTATTTCTGCTGTAACTATGACAATGCTGCTTCTTGTCAAACGTTTGAGCGTTTATATATTCAATTAATTAAAGATTATTCATTTTGTGATTCTATAAGATGTCAAATTCAAAATGTTTTTCTTAAAAAAATTATTGGAGGACAGATTTCAGTTTACGGAGCGATTTTTATTTTTAATATAATTAAATAATTAAATCATCCAGTGTCCCCCGTGGCAGTTTGCTGAGGCCCCGATCCTTTTTGAGAAGATTTGCCCTAAAAGCAAAGTAAAGGATGACTTAATTATTCTTTGAGGAACCTGATATTACTCCACAAATGCTGTTGATCAAACATATCCTGTACTGATCCTGAAGCATTGCTTTAAGATATTGTATGGCTATGACTTTAAAAAAAACTGAAAGCACCTCTTTATTTCTGAGAATAAGGAAAAACCTTTATGTATCATTAATAGGAGCAAATACCTCTCTGGAATCCCAGTGAAAGTTTCCTGAAAATCAAATCTTTAGAGACTAAAACAGTGACTAATAAACAGAGCTTAGCTAAACGCAAAAATGGCACGTGTCTCTCGTTCTTTTTTTGTTTTATATTGCGCAAATGCACAATCATACAAGAAACCAATGTATTGTTTAATAACTGATAGTAGAGCTAGTCACTGAGACTAAGAATAACACCACGTATTGACTAATAAATTCCATTTAAATAAAAATTATTTAACCAAAGTCGTGCTGCGCTATCATCTCACATGCAATGTTCTGTTCTTCTTTTTAATCTTTAATGGTTGTATGTCAGTTTGGTAATAAAAAAAAATGGTAATCAGGCCTTTGTGTTTAAGATGTACTGCTAAACTTTGACTCTGAAACAGAAAGGCACAAATGATAAAGCTGAAATGACTCTACCACTGGCACAATGTCAAGCCCTGCTTATAACTCACCTCAAAAAATAAAGCTCATCATCAAGGGAGAGTTGGATTCAGAGAGACTTTGGGCTCAGGTGAGATCTAATTAGGAGTTGGTGCTATACTTCAGATGCAAGGAATAAGATCCATATTGGTTCAGGCCTTTTAAATCATAAATCACATCAACATTAGAACATTGCTGTTCAGAAGGAATGGTGTCACAAATCATATCTTCAGAGAGAGAGAATATCATTTTTACCCGCTTTTCTGTCTTTTTAAAACCAGACAGACACTTAAAGACAGTGATGTTAGATGTTTTCTGCTGTTACATCTACTCATGGCAAATGTTTCAAATAACTGTCAGCAGTTATTCACTGAACTTCAAACCTTCTCTCATCCTCCCAAAGAACAAAACACATCTAATATATAACTGCAGCATGTGTGAAAAGACAACGGGAAGAGCAGAGCGGCCGTCTACCTTTTCCTCCAGCTGGTTGAAGACAAATTCGATGACAACATCATCCTCAAAGCCAAGGATCTCCGTCACTAACAGCTTCTTGTGTTTGTTGCTGAAGCGGTTATCCTGCTCCGCACTGGTGCCCTGAAATAAGAATTCATAATTAAAACACAATATATGATATAACTTCATATTTTCTGTATCTGAAGTGAATATACAATTTGGAGTATGAGACTGAAAATAAACTGAATTATTTCACCATCTGAGTAGGATATTGACATGTATACAAACACACAAATACGATTACGCAGTATAAGAAGAGCATGGGATTTGTCCGTCTGGGTTACGGTTTCAGTCTGTATTTTCATTTAACTACGCTAACCAGAGCACAGCTGACTGTATAATGTTACAGTGGATTTTGGCTGTAAGAATAAGGGCGATAATATGAAATTCAACGCGCTGGGTTCCTTAAATCTGCTGTTCCTGTTTAATCTGTTGAGTATTTTCTGGTTTTCTCACGCAGCCGCCATTACAGCCACACTCCAACGAACACAACAAATACAGCCTTAAAATAACCAACTAATCAACCAGCTGACAAATAACACATGCAAAACAACATATTCGACCATTATAGTACGAGAATTGTAAAAGAATATAAGACTTACGCGGAAAAACCCCGCGTCCATTTCTATCGTGTGTCAATATGGCACGATGTCCCACAGTCCACTGCGCCGGGGGAGCTTTTACCTCACTTCCGGTGCCTGTTCAAATCTATTTAATACTACCTTGATCGTTTTTTGTTTTTATTTTTAATTTAGTGTCATAATGTTTTATAATATGGTGAATTTATCATGAAAATGAAATATTAAACACAAATTTTATTTCATGTTATTCTGAGTTTATTATTTGTGACTGCTGCAGAGGCCACAATGAACAAAGGCATACATAAACTGTTTGCTGTATTAAAGCCATTCATTTGACATACACTGCAATTTTCCACCAGTTCTTAATGAGAGTCGTTAACAACTTTTGAGGTTAAATAATAACTGAAAATTAAGGCAGTTTCAACTTTTAACACGGAGATCACACTTGCTTTTGGAAGAAAGGTGAGTAATTCTATATATAGTCTTAAATAGGTCATTTTTATTTGTCTGCACCAGTAGCCTATACAGAAGGCAGACTAAGACTTTCAGACAGGCCAAAGCCAAAGAACACCCTCTTTACTATTGCAAGGCCACTTTGGGTGTTTTATCCAGTAGTTCTGCTCTTCTGAGTTAACAAAAATATGTTTAAAAAAACTCTTAACAGTATATTATAATACATCAGCAATGCTGAGCGATTAAGTACTTAATTCACACCACCACACTATGCATTGTGAACCCAGAGCCCTTTGATAACTGACCCTAAATAATAAAGACAAAAGTGGGTTTAACAGAACCCAACATTCAGGCAACTGTGATTTCCTCAGCCACAGCAGCTGGAAAAAAGGCAGTCTTTTGATTCACACTAAAGGTAGTAGTGGTTTAAAGTATTTTCTGCCCATGGCTGTGTTCAAACTGAGACACTTCCTCTTGTACACAATACATGGAGTGGTCTAGACTAGAGCACAGAGCGAGGTGTCTAGTGGTCCTTACTGTATTTGTAGAAATGGAGCATTTGTGGGGTCAAAATTCAACCCCTCCCAAACAGAATGTCATGATTGGTTAAGATTAGGAAAGCAGAGTTTTAATTATAACATCAGATCATTGAAGTTTGGGCCAGCCAGAATTTTTCTCAGTGCTGACCTTGTTATTTTAATATAGTGTATGATGTCTCTAAAATAATTAAATTGGACAGTTTCATCTCTAAAGTGCGCAATGATATTATTATTATTATACTGTATTCATCAGAATTTTGTTGTTTCCTTGTTTTCCCCTGTCCCATGACAACTTAAAAACTATGTGAGAACAGATCACAGAGAAGAACGACAGTCTCCTGAGCGGTGAGAGAATGTGAGTTTTCACTGTTGGTTAACATGTTTTCTTCACAAGCATACATATTTAGAGAACTGTCAGTGTCAGCAGTTCTCTAACTGACGGAAAGTCCTGATCTAAAGAAACAGCTACCAAATTTGAGATAAATGAGTTTGGAAATGTACTGGAAAGGTGCTGGTGATCTGTGTATCAGTCCCTGAGAAACCTGCTAGCTGACAGGTAGTCCTGCATTGGTTCTTTTTTCACGGATGGAGGCCAGCATGTCTGTGACCAGCTCTGACAGGCCGTACGCAGGCTTCCAGCCCCAGTCCTGACGTGCGTTAGAGTCATCAAACCGCACTGGCCAGCTGTCCGCTATAGAGTGAACAATATATTTTATGAACATTTGAACCATTGCAAAAATGTTAGGAGTTTTTTTTTTTTCCTTTCATTATACAAGAAAAACACATACTGATAGACAATGACCAAGATGGACATTGTTTCTACAAATCAAACAAGTACATTAATATTAAAGGAATAATTCACCCAAAAATGAAAATTTGCTGAAAATGTATTCAGCCCCGGGCCATCCAAGATGTAGATGAGTTTGTTTGTTCAGTGGAACTGATTTGGAGAAATTTAGCATTACGTCACTTTCTCAGCAATGGATCCTCTGCAGTGAATGGGTACCGTCAGAATAAGTTCAAACAATTAAAAACATCACAATAATCCATATAACTCCAGTCCATCGATTATTGTCTTGTGAAGCGAAAAGCTCATCTGAATCAGGAGAGAAATATGCACAGATCAGCACTGTTTACAAGCAAAAACAGTCCAAAACATATGTGAGAGGACAACAGGGGATAGACTTGTTTCACTGGAGGAACCATTATTATGGATTATGAACTCATATTTTGGTCAGAAGCAACGGTTTAAAATTAATGCTTTATGATGGTGTAGCGTCTGGACCAATCAGACACAATTTTTTTAGTTATATTTAACAAATACTCTGTAACACCCCTCAGTCAACAAACCAACTATGAGGGTCTATGGACCCTTCCCCCGAAATGCATCTAACACCTCAGAAAGGCAGAACAGGCCTCTGGTTCCATGGCAACCAATGCTGATATCACTGGTTTTATTGCCCAAAGGAATGCGGGCAGAGCACAACTCACAATTCATTTACCCTTAGGAAAGACACACAATGCCCATAAAAATGGACTCTTCTCTAATTAATTCACAGGAAAACCTTTCTGTGAATGAACACACATATCCTCAGGACATTGTGTATACCATTACTGTTCTTGTATATTGTCTTTTGAATTGTATACTGTTTTGTGTGTGTGTTATGATAGATAACTAGTTAATATAGCCCCAATGTTTCCTTCAGGCTGTAGATCTGCTGAATATCAAATTGTACCATAGCTTCATGTTTTTATTTCTCTTCTCTTTACTGCTTAAGCTTGAACCCTTTTTCCTATGCCAACTGTATGCGTGTGTGTGTGTATGTGTATGTTAGACTAGTTTAAGTGTTTATGTAGTTAATAAAGTCTTACTTGTATCACACTTGAGGTTGTTAATTGTTTGCTCATAACTGGAGTCCTTAGTCATGCAGATTTTGCTCTGAGTAGTATTGTACAGTAAGAAAGTTATTTTCCTTAACCAAGACATTAACGTTCTTAGAATTGACAGACAGTTGACACTGAGAGGTCAAGTAAATACTTACAGCAGATCTAAATATTTATAATTAATTATAACTAGTTATAATTAATTATTCATATTTCCCCTTTGAGCTGATTTGCTACAATGGATATGTTTCTTAAAAACACAGCTTTTCGCTTCACAAGACATTAATTGATAGACTGGAGTCGTGTGGATTATTGTGATGTTTTTATCAGCTGTTTAAACTCTCATTTTGACGGTACCCATTCACTGCAGAGGATCTATTGGTGAGTAAGTGATGTTAAATATCTCCAAATATGTTCCAATGAACAAACAAACTAATCTATATCTTGGATGGCCTGAGGGTGAGTAACTTTTTTAGAATTCTTTCTTTTATGTCGAAATATTCCAAATTATTTAAGACTTTTTCAAAAGGTCATTCTTTCTTTCACTGCTGTTCTTACCAATAGTCTGCCGGATGGTATCAGGATTGTACGTGACCCTCAGGTGGGGCAGGTGTTTGCGAATCTCTTCTGCCACTTCTTCAGGTGTGAAGCTCATGGCTGCGATGTTGTAAGTACGCAGGGAAAGTTGGCTTTCCGGGGCCTGCATGAACTCAATGGTGGCCCTGTGACAGTCAGAAATGTGCATCATGGGAAGCCGAGTGTTGGAGCACAAGTAACATTCATGGTGGCCGGTGCTGAGGGCATCATGAAATATCTGGACAGCATAATCTGAGGAAAAGAGGACATATACAATTAAATAGGTCAGCTGTTGTTTACTGCAAGGAAATGACAAAGCTATGAATGAGTGGGTGAATGCAGGTGTGTGTCTTTTTGTACAACTAAAGATTGTGTCTGTAAGTGAGGAAATGCAGAGTGGCTGGTTACCAGTAGTGCCCCCTCCTGGCTTGGTGTGGGCAGAAACGACTCCTGGGTATCGCAAGCATCGGAAATCCAGGCCATATTTATGATGGAGATACTGATTCAATCAGAAAAGAGTTAGCATTGAGTTGGCATTTCGTAATACATATCATGTAATAAATTAATAAAGTGTGTGTGTATGTATGCATATAGAGTGTATATATATATATATATATATATATATATACAATATATATTCACACACACA